GCGGGCAGTTATTGTTCAGTTGATGGCGGAGATGTTGGCCATGGAGGGCGAGTTCCAGGCCAACAAGATGTGGACCAAGGCGGGCAAGTACGCGTCATTTAAACCACCCGAGGAGGGATCTGAGGTGGGATGGGGGGCTGGAGGGCCTGGTGGGCCTGGGGCTGGGGCTGGGGCTGGTGGCGGCGGTGGGCTATACGTGCGTATGGGGATGTGGGGATGTATGCGTTTTGTACATGGTCGTCGAGGTGACATACTTACGCACAAACATATACACACAACCTACATGCGTACCTGCATACATACCTACATTCCCGCAACCTCTGTGTCATGATGCACTGTGGGGCTGTGTAGATGGGTCTCAGCGCGCATGCACAGAGTTTTGTGAGGGGGCGGGCAGGTTGACGTTCGCAGTGCGGCCCCCGCCAACATGGGAGCTGGACAGCGCCAGTGATCCCATCACCACCACCACCACCATCATCACCACCACCACCACCATCATCATCACCACCACCACCGCCTCCTTGAGACCCAGTGGTGGTGGTGATGGGCGGAATAATTGGGTAATCACATCTTGGTGGATCATCTGGCAATGTGGTGGCGGCGTCGCGTGTATGTCTGTATGTCTGTATGCACGTATGCCCGTCCCGCAGCGCTTCAGTGCCCTGGCGATGGAGCTTATGGGTGGCGGCCAGAGCGGGGATGTCAGCTCCACCATCAAGCGCTACTTCAAGCAGCTCTGCAGCGAGGTAGGCCTGTTCTGTGTATGCATGTATGTATGTGCGGGCTTTTGGGGTGGCGGGTGGTGTGGTCTTATACCATGCGCATCACGAAACACATACAGATTTACATACTTGCATACACGTGCACCCAGGACCGCGCCGAGTTGGTTTTGGAGTACGTGTTGACGGCCGTCCGGAGGAACCACGGCAGGCTGGTCGAGATCATGATCGACCGCATCTGCGCCGACTGCCCCCACGTGCTGCTGGCGCCGCGGTGGCACGAAACCCTGGAGCCGCTCGTCACGGCCTTCCCCTCGCTATTCCACCGCCTGCTGTACAACCTGCAGGTGACGTACAGGGTCATGTGGGAGGAGGCAGCGGAATTGGGTTTCGACGGGGTGCTCCCTACAACCCTTTTTTGGTTTGCGTTTTTGGTAGTTGTAGGTGTGGTTGTGGGTGTGGGGGATACGAGGCCTTGTCTTATTCCGGCAGCCTCCTCCTCCTCCTCCTCGTTATTGCCGTCACCTGACGGAACGCGGCCTTTCCTACAGACTGGCCGTGATGGCGCACGTGCTGCTGCTGGGGGGATTGTTTGTTTGTAGAAGTGATTTTGTGTGTGTGTGTGCACATGCCGTACGTGCTGTGTTGCAGGACATGCGCGACGAGGACGTCCGCGGCTTCGTTCGCGGCTTCGTCCGCTGTCTCAATCCGTCCAAGCTGGCGGCCCAACCGGGGGAGCGCACTCAGTCAGTGGCGGCAGGCGACGTCGGGGCGGCTTTGCTGTCATTACGGCGTGGGGAGGGGGACGCTGCGGGGGGTTATGGCGCCGGCGGGGCGGCGGCTGTCAGTCGGGCACATGCTGTGGACCGCGTGAAGCTGCTCATCTACCAGCAGCTGGTTGAGGGCCTGAAAAAGGTGGTCTGAGGGGAGTTGTTAAGGCTGGGGTAGGGGAGTTCCGTTCCGTGGGAGAGTGTGGGCTCCTTAGCACTGGGCAGCTGGGCAGCTGCTGCCTAACAGCGCCCCTGCCCGTTGCGACCTCTCTCCGGGAGCTGGGCTGCCAGTCGCATTGCACCCCACCCCTCTGTCTCAATCCCTGCCCCCTGCACGACTTGGTGCCGCAGGTGAGCTACCGCATCATCAAGACCTTCTTCGAGGAGTCCGATCAGCGGCTGCTCAACGACATGGCGCAGTTCCCCATCTTTGCGGAGTTCGTGGGGCTGGTGGCCAACATGGACACGGGGAAGGTGGGGCAAGGAGAGGGAGAGAGGAGAGAAACAGAGGAGGGGGAGGGGAGGGTAGGGGAATGGGAGGGAAGAAGAAGTCTTCGCGATGTTGCTAGTAGTCATATGGCGATAGCGGAAAGCTACCTACCTGGCCGCCAAGACTAAAATAAAATGCGGAAAGAAGGAACAGCAGGATAGCCATCCTTAATATTCTTAAGGTAAGTGTAAAGGCGGCAGAGAACAAAAAGTACCAAAAGCTGATGTGAGTAACGAGAAAAAGTGGCGACGTTAAGCTGGCGAAAAGGTATTTAACGCCGGCCTGGCGGCGGGAGGAAGGAACAAAGGCAAGAACTCTGGCTGGTAGGCCGCTGCTAATAAGCTGCTGGTAACTAAACATGCAAGTGCTCCTCCCAACCCCATCACCTAACCCGCCCCTGACCCGACCGACCCAACCATCCCAGTCCGGCTATAACCGATCGACGCAACGGTATTCACCGACGAAGCTTGAAGGAGGGGAGGGGGGAAAAGACGAACCACGAACGAGTGAAGCTGCTGCCAGGGCAAGAGTGTACCAGACGTAGAAGGGAGGGCAGGAGGGGGGAAGAAAGGGAAACTTACATACACACAGGGATGCAACTTATCAACAATGTCAGCTATGGGGAGGGGAGAAAGACGGGTAAGACCAGCTGCTGGCCTGCTGGCATGAAACACGATCCTCATGAACACATGAACACATGCGTGCTCCGCTTCTACTGCGATTGCTGCGGTCGCCCGCGGCGGCACTCTTGGGTGTTGGCATTAGCTGCGACACCCTCCAACATGTCGACTGCTCCGCGCCGTACATACATGCCGTACTTCTTGGTCCTACCGCCGTACGCGACCGGCGATAATGAGCCAACCGTACATTCGCCCATCCCATGGCAACAGGCGGCGGAGTCCGACAGCAGCCGACAGCTGCTGCTCGAGTTCCTGCGGCCGCGATCTTCCCGGGAGAACATGTACGACATGCCAGCTGCCTCCGCCACCGCTAACATCGCTCCCACCACTGGCAGCCCCTCGCCCTCATCGCGACAATACCCCGCCCCGCCCTCGATGAAGGTGTCGGGGGGCCCTGGGGGATGCGCCAGGTAGGGGCCGGCGGCCGCCTCGGCATGTGGGTCGCGGTAGCCCAGAGCCCGGGAACCAACCCAGCGAGGCATTCAAGGGTGCTGTAGGGCCCTCAGTGCTGTGGGATGGAGGGGGGGCCTTCCTTTTGATGTTTAGATCTCTGACTACCAGTCGACCAGCCAGCCAGCCAGTCAGCAGGCCGGCCGGCTAAATATATATACAGTATACACTGCAATCAGGCTGTGTGTGTGGTAAGTCCTCCTTCCTTTCTTCCTTCCCGTCCTTTTCTCGTCCGCACCGATTGCATCCTTTTAAGCCGAGTCAACACACATACATACGCGCACGCACACGTAATACCGCTCTGCGCCCTCTCTGCACCGACCCTCCGCCCTTCGCACGGCACTACGTCATTCCCCAACCCGTCGTTCCATATCCCGCAGCTTGCACAACAACAACAACAGCACCACCACCACCACCACTGCCACTGCCACTGCCACCACCACCGCCACCAGCACCACCAGCGGCGCTACCAGTCTCCCACCCGCCACTACCAATGCCCAGTCCAAGGTCACCTCGTGGGGGGAGACCGGCTGTGTTGACGTCGTCAAAGCCAATCCAGCAAGCCCAGTCAACTGGCTGCGAGGCTATCGGTGTTCCCAGAGCAGAGGAAGGGATGCCAAAGGTGGCAAAGATGCCGCATCCCAAGGAAGCCACCACCAGCAGCAGCAGCAGCAGCAGCCGGGGGGGTTAACGGTGCGGGCGGCGGCTGAGCGCTGGTCAGCTCGGTGCTTGCAGACGCTCAATGTGCGGCGTGTGCTGCGGGCGGCGGTGATTGCTGGAAAGGCGGATAACGTTGAGGCCGCGGTGGGGAGCTTGGTGGGGTGGGTGGAGACTAACAGCCTGGACAGGAAGGTAAGGTGTGCTGGCCGTGGGGAGGTATGTCCTTACAAATGGTGCGTGTGCGCGCGCGTGTGTGTGTGTATGTGCATGTGTCCACGTGTGTGTTTTATGTGTGTGGAAGGACATGTTACCCCCCCCATCACCCCCAACCCAACGCACCCACCCACACCCCACGGGCCATTGCCCCCACCGCAACCCCAATGGTCACGTCGCGGCTCAGGCTGTCTTCCTGGCGGGTATCACAGCGGAGCTGGTCAAGGCGCTGGCAACCCGCTTCCCAAGCGCCTGCGCCATCCTCCTGAACCTGGTGCGACGAGATCTGCGCTGCCGGCCGCCAACCAGTCGAAACCCTTACCGCGCGTGTGTCTCCGTCCCCAAACACCGTGTAGTGCTGCTGTTGATGTTGCTGCTGCCGGTATTGCTGCTGCTACTGCCGGTTGCTGCTGCTACTGCCGGTTGTTGCTACTCCTGCCGTTGCTGTTGTTGCTGCTACTGCTTCTGGTTGCTGTTGCTGTCGTTGTTATTACTTTGTTTTCAGGTTAGCAAGGACGTCTTGGAGCAGCTGGACACTCTGCAGGTATCCGCCAACGTGTTGTACGGCAAGGATCACCTTGTCAAGTGTAGCCACGTCAGAAACCACTTCACGTGGAGGGAGCAGGAGCTCAGGAAGCTTCGTAGCGTCGAGGTACGTTGTACGAATGGGTACGTCGTAAGGTTGAAACGTCGTAAGCGTGTTCCGGTTGCGTCTCCCAGGCCCTGCTTCTGTTCTCACCTCACCTGCACACAGGATCTGGTTTGTACCGGTTTGTTGCAGTTGGTGTGATCTTGTTCATATGTTCGCCGCCTTAAAGAAGGAAACGGCGATGTCTTTGCTGTACTGCGCAGGGGTACGACGATCACGTGGTGGATGCGCTGGTGGATTACGGGGTACCGTTTGAATGCGTGTACAAGGCGGCTGTGGAGATGGGCGACGAGCCAGGCGAGCATGCGACGCCCGACCACTTCGCTGCGCTTATCGAGCACGGGTTCACGGGCCCTGAGCTGAAGCAGCTGATCAGTAACGGCATCCGCCTCGCCAAGGTCATTGGCTACATAGAGGAGTGCGCCAAGGTGCGGCTGAGGGGGGGGTTGGGGGGGTCACCATCACCAAGTCCGTTTGTCAGTCAGTCAGTCAGGAGGGGGAGACGGGGGGTGAAGAGGGCGAGGGGTGGGGGGGAGACGGGGGTCGAGGGAAAGGGTTCTCTCACCCTGCGGAGTGTGACACGGGCTGAATGTGAGTGTGCGGGGAAGTCCAGCGGCCCTCCACCACCGACCTACCCACGGCCCACCCAACTCCATTTCTACGCCGGTGGTGGGGGTGTGCGTGTGTGTTTTGTTGCAGCCCCCGCCCGCCGGGTTGCCACAGGAGCTCATGGACAAGCTGCTGAATGTTGCTATGCCGGTGTTGTTGCGCGACATGCTGAAGGAGCGGCTCAGTCCGCGTATTGTGGACATCATCCTGAGGGAGGGTGCGTCACTAGGGGGGTGGGGCAGAATGGGGGGTCCTGCTGCCCGGGGGGTGAGGGTGTGGGTGTGTGCGGGTGCGGGTGTGGGTGTTGGGGGGGAGGTTATGCTGGCCGCCGATGAGGGTTGCGGGCGGGTGTGATGCGGTGGGGTGTCTGGAGGGGTTGGTACTCCAGGTTGGGTGCGTCCCTGCAGTAGTCGGATATCTGACTCTCGCGGCGCGTCAGGGTAGGAAAGGGTCTTGGTAGAGGGGGGGGACGCCGGGCCATCCTACAGAGGGCTTACAGAGGGTTCGCCGGCATAAGGGTCTTGGTAGAGGGGGGAGGAGCCCATCTCGCGGCGCACTCACCTTCGCCAGCCCTCCGTGTCACCCCCCGCCCAGCCCCGCCACGACCCATGTTCCAACTGAACGCCAACGATTACCGCATATCGGTATTGACCTCCCTTTGCGTGTGGAATGTCTATCTTGGAGATGCGCTCGCAGGGAAGATGTTTGAGACGACCAGGTACAACAACTTCCGACCCGGGTGCCCGCTGAGGGAGGTGTACCCGGAGCCGCTGTTCGTACCAACGTACACGCACCATTTCGTACAGGTGCAGATGTTGTAGTGCCGCCAAAAAAATCCGTGCAGCGCTAGGCAACTATATATATATATAATGTTTACCACCGGCGCTTCCAAGATGTGTATAGGACTGTACTGCATTACCACACGCTCTCCGAGCCAACCAGCTCGCTCTACTCGTTCCCATGTCGAGATCCCGACGGTGTGGGACGGCATGGTGTTCCATTGCCCACCGAACCATCCCTTCGGTGAAAAGGGTTGCGACCGTGGAGTATAAGCATGTGTGGCGCGCACGTGACGTACGTGACGTACGACACACACGCCGTACATACGCCAAAAAGGAAGCCGCGCCGATGTGGTGCATGGCCGGGCCCATGTTTGTATGATCTGGCGTCTGTCGCCTGTCAGCGCACAGTCCCACCCCGGGTTGTGCACACCCCGGTTACTTGCTGGTGGCTTGGTCTGCCGGCCGGCCCGAACCGCCTTTTTGTCCGTCCATTCTCAGCCCATTTGATTCCCGGCCCGGCTATTATCTGCTGCCTTACCAAATGAGTATTGTAACAATTGTAACTCAGCAAAGGCGCAACCCTGGATGCTTAGGTTGGCTTTTTGAGTCGTTACAGTCGTTATGGTGTGTAAGTAGTCGGCCGCGCCTTCCTTGCCCTCACCCTTACCGCCCCTCTGTACCCCCTTACGGCCCTGGCACACAGCTACTGCTCATCAGCTGGGGACGCGGCGTCAAGAACTCCCACGGCAAGCTCACGCGGCAGCCCTGGGCCAAGGACTTCATCGACACGATCTTTGAGCCCAACGACCCGCTTTGCACCAAACTGAAGAGCGCGTACGACAACAAGCTTACTGATACACATGTACGGCATGGTTCTGCCTGTTGTTGTTTGAGAAGCAGCCAGTTTTGTCGTCCTTGAGCCAGCTGCCCCCTGCTCGGCCCCCTGCTCGGCCCCCTGCTCGGCCCCCTGCTCGGCCCCCTGCTCGGCCGTTGCCTTTGTTGTACCAGGGCCCATCTTTTCGTCCCAACACCTGTGAAGCGCGAGACGTCTCTATCCCGCCTGATGCACTTGGTTGTGATGTACATCAACCCCTCCACCCCTCCCCACCCCTCCACCCCTCCACCCCTCCACACCTCTCCACCCCTCCACCCCTCCACCCCTCCACCCCTTCAGGTATACATACAAGATACTGGCGATGGCGATGTGGGGGAGACGGGCGTGGAGGCCCCCGGGCCCAGCGGTGTTGGCGGCGAGGCGTCCGTGCAGCTGCGTGCTCAGAGCACTCGCCAAGAGCGCGAGCAGGCGCTTCGGGAGCGGCGTCTGGAGCACGAGAAGCAGGTCCGGCACGTACGGCATTTGCTCAGGTGTGGCGGAGGTGGAGGCAACAGCACCAAAGGGCGTTATGCAATGTGTCTTGCACTGCTGGTTCGTGCTGCCCGAGTGAGGGGAGATAATTAAGCATAAAAAGAAACACCTACCTCCTAGTCATGGGCCACCCTGTCTTAGTAGCCTAATAGTAGCCTAGCAGCCTGCAGCAGCCAATAAGTCCAGTGTGATCCTTCGACCTTCGTGACATGTGGGACACATGCTAAACGCTGACGGCCGTTCTTGATGTGAGACATGGGCATCGCTCAATGCCCGTGCTGAGAGAGACATCCTCGAGCAGCGATGAAAACCGCATCACGCGGCCTCCCTTCCCCCTGGGGGATCTCCTGGACCGGCTGTCCGGGTCCAGGTCGGGTCGTTCTTCTGTCCCTGCCATGATGCCATGATGGTGGATGCTAGGCATGCCCCGCGCCCTCACCCCTTACCTTCCCTACTCCTGCGCACACGCGATAAAACATTATCATCGCAACCAATCTCTAGGCCCCACACGACGTGCATGTACCCGAGCAGTGTGTCATTTCAGTGTGTATTGATTGTCGTATGCTGTACCCCATGCCGCACCCGTATCGTTTATAGCATCTTCGTGAGCCGGCCGCTGTTGCTTCACCGCTGGCCCGTGTACCTGGCGGCGCACCTGTGGCTGCTGGCGCAGTCCGCTGTGTACACCTACTGGCAGCGGCTGGAGGACTTGTACTCCCGGGCGCGGGCCAGGAGGTTCGGTTACCCGGTCGACCCGGTTCAGAAGGTCGGAATGGGAACCATTGATGCAGCGGTACTGGTGAGTGAGTGGTTGGGTAGGTGGTTGGGTAGGTGGTTGGGTAGGTGGTTGGGTAGGTGGTTGGGTAGGTGGTTGGGTAGGTGGTTGGGTAGGTGGTTGGGTAGGTGGTTGGGTAGGTGGTTGGGTAGGTGGTTGGGTTGGTAATTGAGTGGTTGGGGGTTTTGAGGGGCTGGAGGGTAACTGGGTTTGAGCGGGGGTGGAGTTGCGGAAGTGGGTCGCACGCTGCTATGGTTGGCGAAATAGTTCGGTTAGTTCGGCATAATATACTTGCGATAGTATAAAATATGTTTCAATTTCCTTGCGCGTTTTGTGATATCTCTTTATTTCGAACAGCCTTCGGCCCCCTCAGGGCTCTTGGGGCCCCACATCAGGGCTAACGCGAAGGGGGGTAACGCGACTACAGAAGGGGGTGTAAAACACACACACACACACATATACACAGATGAGCACGTAACGGGCCTTAGGTACTGCTATGCACGACATTATCGGTGTGTTTTAGGTAAAACACTGAAGGTACGTGTTACGTCCCCGCCACCACTCACTCATTCGCCGCCTGTGGGTCCCCACTGCCATGTTCCTCATGTGCCACCGGGGCCCCACACCCCTTAGGTAATTCCGTTGTTGAGCTTCTTCCACCTGGGGGTGGAGGACATGCTAACGGCCCTGGTGGACGCCGACGCGCCCTCCTCATGGTTCCATTTCGCTGTCGTACGGGCGCTGTACACCGTGCATTGGAGTGAGTGACTGTGTGTGTGGGGGGGGGGGCGGCCCCCGAGCTCGTGGATTGTGAACCCTGCGGCAGCGCGTGTATAGGGATTTGGCGACTTCAGCGACCTCTCTCTCCTTACACCACCCCCATCACGTCTCACCTTTGTTCCCCTCATCTGCACTGCCCTTGAAAATTGCCCTTTTCTGACCCACCTCCTTCCTCCCACCTCACACCGCTATATGTTTTCATCGCACCGTTCACCTTGGAGAGGCGCACTTCCTCTTTTCCTGCCGGCGTTGCGGGTTCACTTAGTTTGGCGTTTCCGGGTTCCTAGGGTGATCCTAGGTTTGCCGTCCTCCTCCCTC